TTGATCGTGTAAAAGGACCTAATACAATCTAAATGGCTATTCCGAGGGCCGACTGACTGCGGTCGGGATGCTCTGTAAATAGCCTATCGATCATTCCAAAAGTCCTTCACACTATTGCCACCGTGGGTATTTATAGCCGTTAGGCCGGGGACACAGCTCCGGCCGGCCGGCATGTAACCCACGTAGCAACCATGTGTCTTCACCCCGCAAGCCCTGCCTGTCAACGCATAACGTTGCCACGTGCTTCTCCTCAGCTCTCGCATCCAAGGGCCATCGATCGGGTGTTGAAGACGTCGGTCGGGAGATGCGCCCCTCGGGTCCAACCGAGTTCCTTTAGAGCTATCCGACCTGTAAACCTGCATAAACAACAATAAAACACGTGGCATGTCGGTCGGGGTATTCCCTACCAAAAGCCCCCCAGCCCGGGCCCTTTTGACCGCCCGGGAAAAATGGGACGAGATGAAAAGGTCCAATCAACCGCCGCCAAACCCGACCGGACAGCTGTCATTCTGTCGTGCCACGTGTCGGCTTCTACGCACCTTTGTGTCCGGAACGGTCACCTCGCGCAAGTGGATCGTTTCCCGCCCAAATGCTCTCCTATAAATAGGCCCTTATGAGCGACGAAGGTCGTCTAGCTCGGAGGGGTCATCTAGCTCGAGTGGATCGAGCAGCGGAAACGGCGAGACTACAACGAGCGAACATCGCTCCTCGACCGAAGTTGCTCGGGAAACACCGACCCGGGTGATTGGGGCATATCCCCAAGCAGCACCTCCGACTGACGATCGGGAGGCCACACCAGAGCCAGTCGAAGAAGGCCCGGCTGCCCCGCCTGCACCGGCTGACAGCGAGTTCGTCTTTCTGAACAGCGGAAGTGTTGAACAACAAGAGTGCATGCTGACGTCGGGGGAAGAGGCGAGGATCTCTGCTATGCTCAACGGTCGGGTTCGTTTCGACACCCGACGGCATCTGGGAAACATCATCGAGCGCCATCAAGGCAAATGGATCGGGATGCACTATGACTCACTCCAACGGGCGTAACGATTGCGAGGGCGGCTACTTGGGCGGGGCCGACGAACGAAGGTCTAACACTAACTGATCGTCCCCGACCTTAACTCCCGATCTAGCTTTTACCCCGCTCTAACATTTTGTTTTTTGTTTGCAGAAATGGCACCAGCGGGCTTTGAAGAAGAGGAAGCACCCCGAGCCCCCCGAGCCAAAATCGCGCACGGGAAGAAAAAGACCAAAGACAAACCATCCGGGGAACAACAAATCGCGACCGCCCGACCGATAGGCGCATCTACAACCGTCACCACAGCCGAAGGCTATGTGGTCGAGAATTCTGACGTCTTGGTCTCCCGGGTGACTGCCCGTAAGGGCAAGGAGAAGGCGTCCGAGAAGGAGACCGAAGACAGCGGCGCACTGAAGCGCCGAAGGAACCAACGTAGCTCGAGCCCTCCGGTCGGGGCCATTATGGGTGATGCGTCAATCCTCACCCGAATCGGCAATCTCGGGCCGGTCAGGGAGGATATGACAAAGCTGACCCTGACCCAGGTGGCCGAGAAGATTGGCCAAGATCTGGTCGAGGTAAAAACTTTTCGTCTACATATTTTCATACGACTGTCCTTGCTCGGGCTAATCCCGACCACATTTTTGCAGATATCCCGAGCAGCCCAATTCCTCCAACGTCGAGCGCTGCTGGCCAATGAGGCCGACGCTTTGAAGAAAGTCGCCGACCGGCGATTGGGGGAGATTACCGACCTCAAGGCTGAGCTAAAAAAAGCGAAGGAAGGTCGGGAGCTCGCGGAAAAAGCGGCCCGGGAGGCAAAAGCGGCCCAAGAGCTGGCTGAAAAGGCCGCCAAGGAAGCTCTCGGGGAGGTATCGGAGCATAAGTCCCGACTTGGCAACCTTGGCGATTTGGCGCGGTTTCTCTACTGGGACGAGGCATCGGGCACAAAGTTCCTCCGTGAGACCCGGAAGACCAAGGTCGGGGAGGAGCTGATATGGACGTTCGGGCGCTGGGCGTTCAAATCCGGCCAGCGGAGGATGCGCACCACGACCAAGAAAATCATGGAGGAAGTGCTTGAGGGGGACGACCTCCAGCTGGTCTTAACAACCCTCCTGGACGAAGTCCCCGATCCTGGCCTGGCTCCCTTCAGCCCCGAGGACGATGTAGCTGAGCCGAGCGATGCTGCGAAGAAGTAGTCTAGGTCGTGTAGATTCCGACCGTGTATTTTACTTCTTCATTCTTTTTTGTTTATGTAGACTTCGTCGGGAGCCCGGTCCCGATTTGTACCGGGCGCCTTTTGATTTATGAAACTAAGTTTTTTCTCTTAACTTGTCTTGTCCGGTCTTACTTTTGTTTGTTTATATAACGGTCCTCCTTTGCCCGACCCTTTGGCCTAATGGCCTGGCGAAAACTCGAAAAACGTTTTTTTTTTGCCTGTCCGTTCGGGGTTTTCCCGATCGCCTGGCCTCGTGATTTCCTTCCTTCACCCTAGCCCCCACACTATTGTGCACACAAGGCACGAGTGAGTGCGACAGTGGAAAGAAGTTGGACGGATCGGGGAGATTTTGATGTAGCCTGGTTTCCCCGATCGATGGCGTGACCCGAGCGTCCGCCGAAGATGAGCGCAATAGCCAGTCGTTAGAATTCGACCGGCCAAGTGGTAGTTGGCTATTAGAGCTAATTAGGTAGATGGCTATCAGAGCCAATTAGCTGTACACCCCTATCGGTCGGGACCAAGGGAGAGGTGTCGTGTTGGGCGAAAAGCCCTTCTTCAATGCTGATGCCGAGTCTCGATCGGGTCGATTCCGAGCACAGCTGGTTGGTGAAGCAGACTTGAAAGAACCTACTTCATGTTTAAGCCATTAAAATAACCGATCGGGTCGCCGTATACAAACGGTCGAGCAATCACCGATCGTATATACATTAATATTTCCCGTGCGCAGACGGTTAGTAATTTACAAACATAAAAGCGATAAACGATGGACGGGCCCACTCGCAGGTCTAAGCCCCCACTCCATCTACAATTACAAAGACTAATGTCTAAACAGGACGAGGTGCTCGGAGTTCCACGTGCCCTCGACCTGCCTCCCTGTCGTTGTCTCCAACCGGTAGGTTCCCGGTCGTACGACGACCGTGATGATATACGGACCTTCCCAATTTTGAGCTAGCTTTCCACCTTCCAAAGGCTGACTTGCCTCTCGACGGCGTAGAACATAGTCTCCGACCTGAAAATACCGAGGGTTGAACCGAACATCCTTCGAACTCTTCACTCTCTTCTGATACTCGGCCATACGCCGAGCGGCTAGCTCCCTCTTCTCCTCAACCCCGTCGAGATCCACGACCATGGAGTGTTCATTTTTCTCAGCGTTGTAAGATCGCTCCCTAGCGGTCGGGATCCATGCCTCGATCGGGAGACGAGCCTCGGCCCCATAGACTAGGGCGAATGGCCTCTCCAAAGTTGCTTCTCCGGGGGTCGTGCGATAAGTCCAGAGAACATAAGGAAGCACGTCGGCCCAGCTACGACCAGCAGAGTGCAACTTCTTCTTCAGACCTTCCAGGATTGTCCGGTTGGCATTCTCGACTTGTCCGTTTCCCTGGGAGTAAGACACTGACGATCGGATGGAGGTTGTCCCGATTATGGCAAGAAAGTTTTGAAAGTATTGGCTTACACGTAGTGCGGTCAAAGTAACAATACGACCAAGTCAAAGCAAGTAAATCTTTTATTGATCGTGTAAAAGGACCTAATACAATCTAAATGGCTATTCCGAGGGCCAATTGATTGCGGTCGGGATGTTCTGTAAATAGCCTATCAATCATTCCAAAAGTCCTTCACACTGTTGCCACCGTGGGTATTTATAGCCGCTAGGCCGGGGACACAGCTCCGGCCGGCCAGCATGTAACCCACGTAGCAACCACGTGTCTTCACCCCGCAAGTCCTGCCTGTCAACGCATAACGTTGCCACGTGCTTCTCCTCAGCTCTCGCATCCAAGGGCCATCGATCGGGTGTTGAAGACGTCGGTCGGGAGATGCACCCCTCGGGTCCGACCGGGTTCCTTTAGAGTTATCCGGCCTTTAAACCTGCATAAACAACAATAAAACACGTGGCATGTCGGTTGGGGTATTCATTACCAAATGGTTTAATTGTTGTTTCCCAAATAGTTCAGTAGTTTATTTGTACTCCAATATATAATGACTACATACATTATTACTATTGAAGAATATAAGAAAAGATATTGTGTATGTATGTTAGAATGTGTGTAGTAATAATAATGGAAAAAAGATAACAAAAGTTATAACAGTAAGGATATTTTTGTCTAAAAAATTGTATAATACAACTTTTATAGCATAGTGTATAAAAAGAATAACAAAAAACAGACATAAATCAATTATATAACCTGGATTGAGACTTATTATGATTTTAGATTAGAGAGAATATGTCTAATTAAATTATTAGCTTATATATATATTAATATATATATTAACTTTATATATATATATATATATATATATATATATATATATATATATATATATATATATATATATATATATATATATATGAAATATATTTTGAATTTGATAATCATTAAATCTAAAGCCCGTAATATCAATCATTATTGCATGGACCATGGTCCACACAATTCTGTGGACCATAAATAAAAAATACATTTTTAATATATTAAGAGTACATTATTTATGTACGTAAGATAGATTTTTTGAAAATACATTTTTAATATACTAAGGATACATTATTTTATATAATATACTTTCAATATATAAAAATAATGTATTTTTAATATATTCAAAATATACGTGATATTTATGGTCTACACAATAATTTGCTCAGTAATATAAAGTAGGAAATTTTCTTTGGGTTTAACAATCATTGGGAGGTACGTACTTTCCTATCCTGACTTTGAAATCATCGCTGCTGATCTGTTAAACGCGTTTTCAAAGCTCTTTAAATAAATCTTTAGTTCATAGCTCCAAAGGCAAGCTGCTAGAAAATCCAGACAGATAGTATACTAATATTTCTATCGAGTATGGCATCATCATCATCATCTTCATCGTATGCTCGCATGACGTATGATGTTTTCTTGAGTTTTAGCGGTGAGACACGAGGATCATTTTCCGATCATCTCTATGCAGATTTGAAGAGGGCTGGAGTTAACACCTTTCGGGATGATGAATCAATTCGGAGAGGCGAGGATATTTCTGCTGAGCTGTCTAGAACCATAGAAGAGTCGAGGATATCCATCATTGTATTCTCAAAAGACTATGCTGGATCCCGATGGTGTCTAGATGAGCTTGTGAAGATCATGAAATGTAAACAGAAGTTGAATCAAATTATTTTTCCCATATTCTACAATGTTGATCCTTCTGAGGTTCGCAAACAAACAAGCACTTTTGGTGATGCATTGACTCTACACAGACAACGATTTGGAGATCAAAAAGTTAATGAGTGGAAAGATACACTCACTGCAGCTGCTAACTTGTCCGGATGGGATTTGCAAACCATGTCAAATGGGTAATCCTAACTCTTTTGATTTCCTTCTATTTGTTGATATTTGCCTGGCACACTTACACATATAGTAAATTTATATTTATGGTAATTTTTTAAAAAGAATTTTAAAAATAATTGAAAGAGAAAACTCTGCATCTTCTAATTGTGCTTTTTAATTAATTTTTAAAAGTAGTAATTGTTGACTCATTTTGTTGTCTTAAATATTGGCAAAAATATAAATTTCAATCCCCGTTAAATTGGAAGAATTATTAAAGACCAAGATAAAGTAAGAATACAAGTTTCAGTCCATCTAGGAAATTAGAATCTCATGTGAACTAAAGATAAAGGATCTCTTGAAAGGCTATATAAAGATTGTCTAACAAGAAAAGAAATGCATTCAATTCCCTATCTTATGTATTGAGAGCTGAGAAGTATTGAGAAGAGAAAATTTAAATACTACAGTTAGGTTTCAATAGAGAGAGATAGTGAGATCTAGATTTTATTGTGTAAAAGTGTTTCCAAACTCTTGTACTTTGAAATTGTGCTCATTGTGGATTCAGCCATTTTCTCAATAGAAGAAGTGCTTAGCAGATTAGTGTTCTAAACCATCACACGATCCTCACAAATATAATTTTCAGTATTAATTTTTGATTGATTATAAAAAAAAATATTACATTTTTAAAACTAATTGACGAATTGTATTTGTTGGTAGCAACATTTAATTAATAGAAAATATTTTAAAAGAGTTAATTCCAGTTTTGGTCATAGATTTATAAGCGGCAGTCTATTTTTAGTCTCTTTTTATCATAACATTCCCGATTGGTCATAGTATTATTGTGGGTTAAAGTACCTATGAGGTCCCTGTACTATAGTGTTTTGTTCAATTTAGTCCTCATACTTTTATTTTGTTCAATTTAGTCCCTGTACTTTCAAAAGTGGTGCAATTAAGGACAATAGTTAACGATGTTAATATTATCGTTAACTTAGGTTACGTGGCGCTGAAGATATTTATATTCCTACTCATATATTACTTTATAAATATTTAAAATTTATTATTTTTACCACCAATATATTAAATTAGTATGTCCAAAATAAATAATTGCGATCATGTTCGTAATGAGATTTGGACAATTGTCCTTAGTTTTATCACTTTTTAAAGTAAATGGACTAAATTGAACAGAATAAAGGTACAAGGACTAAATTGAACAAAACACTATAGTACATGGACTTCATAGGTACTTTAACCTATTATTGTGAGATAATCAATTTTGGTCCTCTATGAAGTAAATTGTTGAAATCTCGTTAAATACACTGGCATTGCGATCTTTTTAATATAAAGTGCATTGACCTATTATATTTTTTTGAAAAAATTCATAATTGACCGAAATACCATTGTATTTAACGGTATTTAAACTATTTTGTAGATAAAAGACCAAAAATGATCATGTCACAATAATACTAGGACCAAAATAGGATGTTATGAAAACAAAAAAAAAAAAAAAAAAAAAAAAAAAAAAAAAAACTAAAAGTGACCTGTCACCCATAAATTCATGACCAAAAATGAAATTAACTCTGTTTAAAAATCTCTTAGTAAATTTTTTCTGCAAAATATAATTTACTAGGTTCTTAACATAATCGGTATTTGAAAATCTAATTTTATGTTGAATTTTATTTTGTACCCATGGAACTAATTTGTATTGATATATAGTTCAATATTTTAAAGATGGGAAATTCTTTCACACTTTTAGCCTATAAGTATGCCGCATCACATAACATATTAACATATTAACATATTAACATATAAACATTAACATATGTAATTCAATGATTAGCTCAACCTTTTAGTTGAAACTGAAAACATCCTTCAATTTAGTATTAGAACCAATCCATGTAAAAGGTCACGTTTCAAATCACCATATTATCCAACAATAAAGTAAATTATGGTTCATTTGTTGCTAATTCAACTATCAGCTTAACCTTAGTCAACAAAGAACACATTTTAAAATTATTATTGCTATGGATTATTAATTGGTCGTAGTCTACGATTTAATTGGTAGATTAGTGTTTTAATTAATGTCTGCTGTCGTGTTTTCAATTTGGTTTCTTATTTGTGTTTTCTACCTTCCTTTTTTATTGTTTTTTTTTTATTGTTTTTAAAATCAATATATAGACAGATTAATGCAATAAATTTAAATCTGATTAGATATGAGTCAAAGTTCATTGAGGTGATTACTGAAGAAGTGCTACGGGTGTTGAATTTTATGCCCATGAATGTTGCAAAGCATCCCATTGGAATTGATTCTCTTGTTGGAGATGTACTTCATTTATTACAAATGCAAACAAATGAGGCTGTTCGGATGATGGGAATTTTTGGCATGAGTGGTGTCGGGAAATCAACCCTTGCTAAAGCCATATACAATCATTTGATCATGAGTTTTCAAGGGTTTGAAGGTAGTTGCTTTGTTGCAAATATTAGACAAGAAGTTTCTAATAAGGGACAGAATGGTCTAGTTGGTTTACAAGAGAAACTTCTTCACAAAACACTCAAGCGAAAGAATTTTGAAATTGATAATGTTGATGAAGGAATAAGTTTGATCAAAGCAAGGCTGCAATCCAAAAGGGTTCTAATTGTTCTTGATGATATAGACCACTTAAGTCAATTAGACTCATTAGCAGGTCAGCGAAATTGGTTTGGTTCAGGTAGTACAATTATAATAACAACAAGAAATGTTCACTTGTTGAGTGAGCTTGGAACACAAGAGAAATACAAGGTTAAAACATTAAGCATTGATGATTCTTTGCAACTCTTAAGTTGGCATGCTTTTGGTGTTCCTATAGCATCAGAGGAGTATACTGAAGTATCCAAAACAATAGCAAGTTATACTGGCGGACTTCCATTAGCACTTACCATTATAGGCTCTCATTTGCGTGGAAGATCAGTGCAAGAGTGGCTTGAAGATATTGAGAAATTAAAAAGGAATCCTCATAAAGATATTCAAACAATTCTTGAAATAAGCTATGATGCACTTGATGATGATACTAAAAACATCTTTCTTGATATTGCTTGTTTTTTTGTTGGGCATGACAAAAAAAACACTGCTATGATATTGGAAGCTTGTTATTTTTGTGCTGAAAGTGGAATAAGAGGCTTGGTAGAAAGATGTTTGTTAACAATAGATGGATTTAAAATGCTTGAGATGCATGATTTAGTACAGAATATGGGAAGAGAAATTATTCGAAAGGAATCTCCAAAAAATCCTGGCGAACGAAGTAGATTGGTGGACCCAAATGATGTTTTTGATGTTCTGCAAGGCAACAAGGTAAAACATTCCCTTTGTACTTGAGTTATTATAATCTAGTTCATTTGCTTGTAATACTAAGTTTTATTAAAAATATGAAAGATTTTACAGTATCTAACATATTGCTACATCAAACACTTTTTTAGGGTACAAATGCAATTGAAGGGATCATTGTAAACTCTAACATGTTTAAGAATATGTGTTTGAGTACGGAAGTATTCACAAGGATGGTATATTTGCGAATACTCATATTAGATGGTGTGATTCTTAGAGGATCTTTTAAATATTTGTCCAATGAGCTTCGGCTTTTAAGGTTGCGTTATTGCCGTTTGAGTCACATACAATCTGACTTTCATTGTGCAAAACTTGTTGAGTTAGACTTGAGGTATAGCAATATCAAAGAATTTCAACCCAATTTGCAGGTTAGTGTGTCTAATACTTAATTATTTTAACATTGCATATTTGCTAAGAACTTTGACTAAAAAATAGAAATGCATTAAAACCTCTCTATTTTATTTTAACAGCATTTTGTATGCTTGAGGATGTTAAAGCTCAATTACTGCAAACAACTTAAGAGTACACCAAACTTTACTGGGGCACAAAGTCTTCAAGAAATATCCTTCGCAGGTTGTTCAAATTTGACGAATGTGCACCCATCAATTGGAAGTTTGGAGCGGCTTGTTGGGTTAAATTTGGGAGAATGTGAGAAATTGAAGGTGCTTCCTAGTAGCATTTGCAAGTTAAAATCACTTGAGAAGTTACAGTTATCTGGTTGCAAGAATCTGAGGGAGCTTCCAATTGAAATTGGAAAATTAGAGCAACTAAGAAGTTTAAGTGCTATTGGAATTGGTATCTCACATTTACCCTCTTCTTTGGGTTGTTTCAGAAATCTAGAGTACTTAGACCTGAGAAAACATGTGGGTTTAGTAGCTGTAGATTTTTTTCCATCTTCAACTGCGAATTTATGCTCATTGAAGTGGCTGAAAGTGAGTTTCAACAAATCGCAGCAGCAAGTAAATCTTCCAATTGCTCTTGGGAGTTTGACCTCATTGACAAATTTAATGTTATCAGGAATTTGGTATCTTGAAAGCCTATCGCTGGACCTTTGTACTCTCTCCAATTTGAGAAAGCTTGTCCTAGAGGATTTGCACAATCTTATAGCACTTTTAAAACTTCCACCTAGTTTGGAGGATCTTAGTGCATATGATTGTGAGTCATTAGAAAAAATAGCAGATATATCCAACTTAAGAAGACTTGAAAGTTTGTATATTGTGGGTTGCAAAAGTTTGGTTGAGCTTTCAGGCTTAGAGGGTCTTGAATCCTTACGAAAGCTTAGGATAACACAGTTCAAAGCTCTAACTATCCCTTATAACTATTTGCAAGAATGCGTACAAATCGATCTTGGATGTTTGAGCTCATTGAAAACTTTAGAATTATATCATTTTCAAAGCCTACCCTTCAGCCTCTCTCATCTTTCTAATTTGAAGCGTCTCATATTAGATGATTGGCAAAATCTAAGAGCATTGCTACAACTTCCTCCTAGTTTGGAGGAACTCTCTGCAAAAAATTGTGTGTCGTTGGAAAAAATACAGAACTTGAAAAGCCTTGAAAAGTTATATATTCTCAATTGCAAAAGTTTGGTTGAGCTTCCAAGATGGGAGAGTCTTGAATCTATTGAGATAAGAAATTGCAGTGGTTTGAGGATTCCTTCGGTTGAAAATTGGTTCCAGGTTAGTTAAGTTATGTTCCCCTCCCTCATCTTTGTCTGATTTGGTTATATATAATAATACTAATAATAATAATAATAATAATGTAGGCACGTTCTGAAGGTAATACTGTCCAGATTTCACTTAAAGTCGGCAGAGGTTGTGTATATTGCAGTATTCCAAGACTTTTGAGGCATACAACAACCTTTCGAATCAGGAACAGTGGTTTTGATAATAATGAGGAGTTTGATGGAGTTGGTGTTAGCGTGAGAAGCAAAATAACTGGTGCTTGGATGGTAAAGGAACCTCAGAAATATATTAAGTTTATATTGTATGAGGAAATTGAATTTGTGGTGGCAACAAGGATTGGCGAAGTACTGGAGGTGTATGCTCATTTCCATCCACCTCTGCAGAAGAAGATGCTGCTGCTTTGTTTGTTTGAAATACATAGAAACTCAGATGGAGAAGTGCGTTTCTTTCCATCCACAAGAGGCTTCATAGAAATTGATGATTCTTCAACAAGTAGTAGTGTAGGTGTAGGTGTAGAAGAAGAAGAGCAGAAGAATTATGGTTGGAGAAGAAGATTTTGCAGCAGAATTATTCCCGAGTTTCTCCTTAAGTGTTTTTGTTGGGGTGATGGGATGAAGGAGGAAGAGGAAGAGGAAGAAGAAGAATAAAGAGGGGAGGAGAAGGAAAAATTGTCCTTTCTTTAACCACACTAATATTTCTCCCATCTTTACCTTCTTCATTTTTCCTCAACCAATTCTAGCTACTCGATCTCATCTTCTTCCTCGCGATCTTCAACTCCTTTTTTTTCATGGTTGTTCAGGTCAATTATATTCTTTCTGCATCTCCATTTTCTCTACATCATGTCTCGTTATTAGTACTTAGAATCTTAGTTTTGTCACAAATGCAACCAAAAAAAAAGTTGCGATAAAGAAATCTATGCTTAATGGCAATTTAATGCACTTTCTCTTTGATGCTATAATTCATTTAAACTTTGATTGAGATTTTTGATAGCTGACTGCACTTCCTTCAAAGCCATCTGTTTAGCTTTCTCAATAAGGGTATTGTGGATGATGATGTTATTCTTATACTTTTGGTTGCCTTTCACTGCTAGCTGCTTACCCAACTACGTACTAGAGCAATGTGTCTAGAGTATCACAGGATAAACATACACGACTTCACTCTTGATCAGAAAAAGCTTCCTTATGAAGTTCTGATCTGAGTGAGATAAGAGCAAGCAGTAGGACTACCCAGTGACGTGGTGGATTCTGTGAAATAAAAGAGAATTGGGAATATTGTCAATAAAGGGCCTTGGCCTGGTTGTTCGCAATCGTCGTAATGTGCAAGGATACACCGCGCTTCATGTGGCTGCTAGACTAGGAAATTAACGATGAAGATGAAAAAAAAAAAAAAAAAAAAAAAAAGGGAAGACCACAGGGAAGAAGATGAAAATCGTGAAGAACAACTGTTGAGAAAAAGATGGGGATAAATTTAAAGATGAGAGAAATAGTGGTGATAAAGGAAAAGACAATTTTACCCCTCCTATAAAGAGCAAAATATTTGTCCCGGCGAAAAATGGACAGAAAGTCAATCGAAAGGACCATTTACGCTAAGAAAATGATAGTCCTGGACAAAAAGTCAATCGGAATGACCATATACACTACTACTACTACACACTGTAATATATATATATATATATATATATATATATATATATATATATATATATATATATATATATATATATAAATTAAAATAAATGACAGTGTGTAGTTAGGGGTGTCAAAGTGGGCCGAAGACTGCGGGTTAGCCCGCACCCACCCCGCGATGGGGCGGGTTAGGGCCGCAAGAAATTAGGCTCGCGAAAATGCGGGCCTAACGGGCATGGCCTGCGGAGGGCCAGAGCCCACGCGGTTGCGGGTTGCGGGTTGCGGGCTGGCCCGTGGGCCAAGTCATATTTAAAAAATAAATAAATAAATTATATATATAATACCTTTAAAAAAAACCATATATATAATATCTTAATTCTTAGGTAGTGTGTAGATCTGACTATCTAAGAGTACGTAGAAAGGTAGAAATCCAATAATTCAATAATCCTTCGTCAATTCTTAATTCAATAATTCTTAGAGTACGTAGTTCTTCGATTCTCCCGTCTCCATCCGCCTCCAACTCTATCAAACAATTAATAAAACTAAATCATCAATTCATACATATTTATGAATTACTAAATTGCATCCAAGTCCAGCAAACATACATATTTATATATGTATTATACTCAAACGGGAACTATAGAGGGAAAATCTGAAGTCGAGAGAGAAATAGAGTGTGCTGTTGAACCCATAGCATTGATCACCCTTCTACAGTTCTACTCAACGCGTTTTATCGATCCGGGAGATTTGGGCAAGGTTTTTTGGATTTTATGGAAGTTTCCAGTGCACTAAGGTGTATCATACACCGTGAGGATGTGAAAGAACGACCAATAAATAGTGCCATATTTCAAGGGATTTTAACATGTTTATATATAATTTAATGTTTTTTTTAAATTTAAGTGATGGCCCGCGGGCCAGCCCGCAAGACCCGCATGGGTGGGCTTGGGCGGTATAGTTCCAAGCCCGCGGGCTTCGCGGGCCGGCCCACAAAAGCCCGGCAAATAAAAAGCCCTTGGTGGGCGGGCCTAATGAGGCTGGCCGGCCCGCATTGACACCCCTAAGTGTTGTAGTAGTAGTAGTAGTAGTAGTAGTAGTAGTAGTAGTATATATATATATATATATATATATATATATATATATATATATATATATATATATATATATTAAAAAATATGATTTTTTAAATACAAAAAAATTAATATTATTTGTAAATTTTACTTATTTTTTTGAACTTTGAATTTAAAAAAAAAAAAAAGCCCGTGGACTGGCCCGCGGGGCACGTCAACCCGCATGGGGCTGTGGTTGCCATGAACCCTAGCCTACGGGTTTGGTGGGCTGACTTGCAAAACTCCACAAAAAATTAGACCTGAAAAATTTTACATGTGCATCCCTTGGAAAATGACATTACCCCCAAAAAATGGGGAAGTCATTTTCCTCCAAAGCATACTTATTTTCTTTTGACTAATACATCATTTTCCATTTACCTCATTTTCCACCCTCTTACCAAACACTGAAAACTCGGAAAACATTTTCAGGAAGTCATTTTCTGGGTTTCCAAACGCACCCTAAACTCAGCAAGCTCCAAGTAAGCATCCACAACCTCTACTAATCTTATTAGTTTATTTTAAAGGTCTAAAAGTTAAACTCTTGGGTTTTCGCAATGGGAGTTTAAACTTGGCATTTTGGTTCCCACTTGGTTGATACAGTTCCAATACTAATCGATCAACAACTGTATTACTGCATCTGAGAATGATGAGGATCAAAACTTGGGGAGTATAGCTTACAGGTTCTTATTTTTGAATTTCTGTCCTTCATAATTTGTTATCAGTTTCATCAAGCATCCTTCTTTAAAAGTGATTATTATAGAGCTGGATTTGAAATGCTTGTTTTTTTGCAGGCACTTGAGAGTTTGTTTCTTGCTAAGGTGCCACATACAGGGATATTGTGATCAGATCTTGCGGAACTACAAAAAGTTCCATTGTAAGGCCCAGGGGAAGCATAGTATATTTTGAGGTCTCAACAACGCAGAAGTATTGGAAGTGCATGCATACAATGTATTTGTATTTCAAATACATATATTGAAACAGTCAGAGACTTCCTCCTGCAATTTTATCAATTTTAATATTTCAAACTTTGAAAGTACTAGCATCTTGAAAGCTGAGGAAATTAGATTGAGAAAGGCATTCATGGGGATGGATTTCTATGGAAATCTTAGAGTGGAGTTACAGGCGCAGTGGGATACGAACTCTGCCGTGGCGCTATGGGCAAGAACTTCCACTTGCGGGGCCCACTCGCAAACCTTACCCCTGTTTCTTGCATGTCCTCCAGTCGGCAAAATCGGGTTGAAACTAGTGGTTAAGGACCACGGCCGGCGGATGAACCATAAGAACATGTGGCCGCTCCTCTCCAACACCCGTACCGTTGGAAATGAAGGTAGAAAGACTTGAAACAAGCACTTATCACACATTAGAAAAAGAATGAGATTTGCACCAATATGTATATAACAGTTTTTTAGAAGAATGTTAAATTGTATAGCATAGATCTTCTTTCTCGCCGTGCAGGATTTGTTTTTCAAATCCCACCCAAGCCCTTTCTCCTTTCGTTCTTGCATGTGCATGTTACTTCTCCAGAAACATTATTCTGATAACAACTATCTTATTATTATATTTACAATTATGCACAATTTCAATCCGCTTCTAAAATATTCTCATTTTCACATGATTTCAAATAATTCATGCCATGCAAATATCCGAAAAACTTTTGTATTATATAAAAATTCAAAAAAAAAAAAAAATCATAATACATAACTATTTGAATTATATAAATTTTATAAATCGAGTATTTGTTATAGTAAGAACACAAGAGATGAAACGCGGGATGAGGTGGCCAATATATTGGGGGTGGTGCAGGCACAGAATTTTGGAAAGTACTTAGGGCTCCCATCATTTGTGGGTAGAAACAGAAGGGCAGCTTTTGCTTATATTGAGGATAAGATAAGACAGCAGATTAGTTCGTGGAATAAAAAACTCTTGTCACAAGCAGGGAAAGAAGTCCTATTGAAAAGTGTGGCTCAATCTATGCCTACCTTCTCAATGAGTGTCTTTTTGCTACCGACCTCTCTTTGCGCTGCCATTGAGCGAACCATGAATCGATATTGGTGGAGGTCGAATAATGATCATGGTATTCACTGGAAAGCTTGGGATAAGTTATGTATTCCAAAGAAATATGGAGGATTGAGGTTTAAAGAATTGAGAGCGTTTAACCTGGCTATGCTTGGAAAACAAGGATGGAGTTTCCTGACACAGCCACAATCATTAGTTTCAAGAGTTTATAAAGCCATGTATTATCCCACTAATTCTTTCTATGATGCATGTTTGGGAAATAACCCGAGCTTTTGTTGGAGGAGTATTTTGGCAGCACAGGAATTGATTTGTGGGGGAGTTAGGAGGAGAATTGGAAATGGCCAATCAACATTGATATGGGATCATCCATGGTTGCATGATGGGTTACAACCGAAGATATTAACAGAAAAACCACCCCAATTGGCACAGGCGAAAGTAGTGGGTCTGATGGATCAACAGACACGAACCTGGGATAAAGATATTCTAACAGATATTTTCATACCTGAGGATATTGAGCGAATTCTGAAAATACCTGTGTCACCAGATTATGAGGATTTGTGGTACTGGTATGGGGATCCAAGAGGTGAATATTCTGTTAAGAATGGATACAGAACAGTAGTTGGAGAATATAGCCAACAGGTTGTGACATTTGATAAATGGCAAAAGTTATGGAAGCTTAAAATCCCACCCAGGTGGAAAACATTTTTATGGAGAGCTCTAAATGATATTTTACCCACTACAAAGAACCTACTTATAAAGAGGGTTGATATTGACCCAACATGTGCTATGTGTGGAATTGAACATGAAGATGTTGTGCACTCCTTGATCAAATGTACCTACACGGCAGCCATTTAGACACAATCCCACCTTCCAATCCCCAATAATGTTATAAATATTTTTGGAGATTGGTTTAATGATTTGATGAATGTTTTAGATGATGACGGGATTATTTATGCAGTGGCAATACTCTATTATATTTGGCGCACAAGGAATGGAGCTGTGTGGGATGCGTACTTACCCAGGCCTCGGAAAGTGGTTGTGATGGCGGCATCAGCTCTCAATGCTTGGAAGGCGGTTCACCACCGAACACCAACTCAGCCGATCCATGCTACCACGGTAGACCACACCATAGCAGTAACAACCGGTGCGGACGTGCCTATAGCCACGGCGTTACATACGGCTGCCACGCCCATCGTCACAGTACACCGACCGCAACTCTCTACGACATACACCGCGCGCAATGCTGTTCACGGCATGAGGGGAAAATGCTACTTCGATGCGGCTTACGATCCACAGACGAACAGGACAAGAATGGGAGCAATTATCCTAGACGGCCAAGGGAGTTATATTGCGGCCATGGCTACTACAGTGATAGATTGTTTTTCACCCCTAATGGCGGAGGCTGTTGCATGCAAGGAAGTATTGTCATGGTTGAGGAGTCGCGAAATAAACTCTATCGAGCTATACACGGATTGTTTGGTGCTTCAACAATGCCTGTCTTCTACGACACACTCGTCACGGGATTACTTGGGCTATGCCATTGATAGTTGCAGGACTAGTTTATCGACATTTGATTACTGTTTACTTCATTACATTCCTAGAGTAGATAATTATTTAGCTCATACATTAGCATCTACTACATTTACTGACTCGAATCCTATGTACTGGGATTCTGCTCCTCCAGCTTCTATTTCTGCATACTTCGAATAAAATGCCGTACAGGCTCTTTTCAAAAAAAATATAAATTTTAAAACTATGAAAAATAAAATCAATTAAAATTTTAAAAATTTTACATTGAAATTAAAAATTTAAATACATAAATATGATTAACATTTAAGTACATTTAATCATTTATCTTTTATCAACTTTTCTTAATTTGGCAAATTATGCTGTGCAACCGCGTGCTACATGATAAAGTGGAAAGGTTCACCTTGCCTTTTCCAAGCTAAGCAACCAAGAAGTTTTCTGCTAAGTGTTGTTAAGTGTTGTTTCTATTTCTGTTATTCCTGTTATTCTTTAAGCCTTAAGGGCTTCTTTGTCTTTTCACTACTAGAGGTAGTTATAACCTTTTGCATACTGTATATATGTTTTCTGCTTTCTTCCTTTCCGAGACAACAAGATATTTTCCTTCACTATAACTCCATTCTTCAAGCTATGAAAGCTCTCTCCCTTTTGTCCTGAATGTGCTGAGCATTTTCTCATCATGGTATCAGAGCGCCATCGAACTTATGCCGCAGCGATAATAAGGGAAGACGGCAAAGGAAGCTCTGGTGAACGTCAAGCGAGAGATCCGATGAACCAGAGTCCGGCAAGCTCGATTTCGATTCAACGAAATGATGAATTCAACGATCCTCTGTACCTGCACATTATTGAGAATCCAAACTTGATTCTCGTTTCACCGCCCTTGTCAGAAATCAATTACGCCTCCTGGAGTCGGTCGATGAGGATCGCGCTGGAGGTCAAAAACAAATATGGATTCGTGGATGGAACTATCACGAAGCCTGGAGAAGTCGATCCTAATCTTGCGATCTGGAAAAGATGCAATAACATCGTCTGTTCTTGGTTATTGAAGTCGCTCAGCCCAACTATAGCTGAGGGAGTTCTCTACTTCGATTCAGCAGCAGAGATCTGGAACGTCCTCAGAAAGATGTACTCTCAAGTCGATCCTCATAGGATCGTAGAACTACAGAATGAAATTTTCAAATGCAGTCAAGGTAATCTTTCAATCAATGAATATTTCACCAAAAGTAATGTGTTATGGGTCCAGTTGAATGCGATGAGACCTATTCCTGCTTGTGAGTGTGTGCCTAAGTGCTCCTTTGCCCTAGTGAGCAAAATCCAGAAAGAAAAGCAAGAAGATCAGATCATTAGGTTCCTGGAAGGCCTTAATGATGAATATGAAAACATTTAAGTCTGGAATTTTAGTAATGGAACCTATTCCAATTATGGAAAAAGTGCTGAACATGACATTGAAGATGGAAAGGAAACTAAGAAGTTCCAGTAATTTCAAAAGTAATGAGCTAGTCCAGGCAAATGCTTTGCAGAATGAACAAAACCAGTCTTCTGATGAACAGCCCATGGTGGCAGTATCAACTTCAAATAACAAAAAGAAGTTTAACAATAGCCCAGGAAGAAATATCCCCAAATGTACTTTCTGTGGTATGACAGGTCATACTGTTGAGAAGTTTTACAAAAAGCATGGATACCCCCCTGGCTGGGTTCCAGGCTACAAATCCAAGAACAGGCAAAACCAAGACACACAGCAAGGTTTTAATGCCTCTATTAACCAGATTGGTGATGTGGGACTCTCTGCTGAACAATTTCAGAGACTCTTATCTCTGTTACATGCTCAGAATCCAGGCAGTCAGGCATCAACTAGTGCAGCCATGACCATGACTAACACTGGTCTGAAACCAGATTTCAGAAATCCTCTTGAGAACAACCACAAAGAAGGCAGGTTCATCTCTAACTCTATTGTTAGTATTGTCTTAAATCGTTCTAATATCTGGATCCTAGACACTGGTGCCAGTGATCACATTATTTGCTCTTTGGATTACTTTGATAATTATGATGTCATTCATGGAATTCTGGTAAAATTGCCCAATGGGGACTCAGTGGAAGTCACACACATAGGACAAGTCAGGTTGCACATGGATATACTGTTACAGAATGTGCTTTATATACCTTCTTTCACCTTTAATATCATATCTGCAAGCAAATTGACAAAACTGTCCAATTGTAAAATTGTTGTGGGGGCTGATTCTTGTGATCTTCAGGGACACTTTGGAGTGATGGGTGGTTTTGCTAGTGAGACAGATGGTTTATACTTCATCACCAATCCCCCAGTCAAGAAGAGAACACATACTTACAATGTTGCTTTTAATTCCCCTTGTAATAGCATTTCTGTAGAGGTATGGCACAATAGACTTGGCCATTATCCTATGAATAAAATGCAGTTGTTAAAAGGAATAAAAGTCCCATTACAGCATAAATCTCCTTATCTTGTGTGTGATATTTGTCATTTTGCTAAGCTTAAAAGATCAAGGTTTCCCATGAGCACTACTAGAGCTGAAAACAGTTTTGAATTGATACACATGGATGTTTGGGGGCCATTTCCTGTAGCCTCTCTTAAGGGAGAGCATTATTTTCTTACTATTGTGGATGACTACAGTCGATTTACTTGGCTACACTTGATGAAACACAAGTCAGAGGTCAAATCCATTTTCCAGAATTTCTACAATCTTGTTTGGACTCAGTTCTCAACCAGGATCAAGGTGATTAGAACAGATAATGGTGGTGAGTTTATGCTGCATACTTTCCTCAATGAAAAGGGGATCATACATCAGAGGTCTTGTGCTTATACACCCCAACAGAATGGGGTGGCAGAAAGGAAACACCAGCACATTCTAAGTGTTGCTAGGGCCTTGAAGTTTCAGTCTGGTGTTTCAGATAGTTTTTGGGGACATTGTGTCTTGCATGCATCATATCTGATAAACAGGTTACCCACTGAGGTCCTTGATGGAAACAGTCCCTTCCAGGTTTTATATGGGAAAGAAGTGCAGTATGATGAGCTTAAATCTTTTGGCTGCCTATGCTATGCTGCAACCATGTCACAAGGCAGGAATAAAATGCAATCAAGAGCAAAGAAATGTATTTTTCTGGGATTTCCAGCCTCTATAAAGGGGTATATACTGTTTGACTTGTCCAACAAGACTACCTTTGTCTCTAGGGATGTCACCTTCTATGAACAGTCTTTCCCTCTCAAAGGTGGCACTCCAAGGACTGTTGTTGATTCCACACCAGGATTGTTCAATCCCCCCTTGCCTCAGATTCTCATTGAGACAGAAGCTAACTTCTTGGAGCCAACAGAAAGCCTTAATAATGCTGATCATCACATTGATGGTCCTGATGATCATCTTTCACATTTATGTGATCAGCAGCCAAGTCCTAGGGATAGTCCTTCTGGAAACATTATTGTCCAACCCTCAATTGACAGCAATTCATCTGGTGAGCATACTGAACAACACCAAGGTGATAGCCAATATCAGCCTAGAAGGTCAACAAGGGCAAGAACTATTCCCATCAGATTGCAAGATTACTTATGCCAGTCTACAAAGGCCACCAAGGATGGTATAAGAACTTCACCACTTTCTATCAACAAGGTCATCTCCTATAATAAGCTAACTCCCAGTCATAGGTTTTTGTGTCTCTGCCTTGAATTCTGCACATGAACCTCAGTCTTACAAGGAGGCAGTGATGAGTAAGGAGTGGAGACAGGCAATGCAATCTGAGATAGAGGCCTTGGTTCACAATGACACATGGATACTGACAGACTTGCCACCTGGAAAGATTCCCATTGGTTGCAAATGGGTATATAAGGTTAAGCATAGAGCAGATGGCTCCATAGAAAGGTATAAGGCTAGGCTGGTGGCCAAGGGATACACACAACAGTTAGGTGTGGACTACACTGAAACATTCTCTCCTGTGGCTAGAATGACCACAATCAAAACTTTTCTGGCAGTGGCTGTTGCAAGGGGGTGGGATATCCAGCAACTTGACATAAACAATGCCTTCTTGCATGGGGACTTGGAAAAAGAAGTATACATGGTCATGCCACCTGGTTTTCAAGGCACCAATCCTAAGCAAGTTTGTAAACTGATGAGGTCCCTATATGGCTTGAAACAAGCAAGTAGACAGTGGAATGCCAAATTAACTAAAGCTTTGCAAAATAATGGCTTCCATCAATCCTCAGCTGATCCATCCTTGTTCGCTAAACAGATAGGGAACTCTTTCATTGCCTTTGTTAATCTATGTTGATGATATATTGGTTGCAGGCACAGATCCTACTCAAATTAAAGAACTGAAACAGATGTTAGATAGTTCTTTTAAGATCAAGGACCTTGGTGCTCTCAACTACTTCCTAGGTATTGAAGCCTTTAGAACTCCAGAAGGCATCAATATCTAGCAAAGGAAATACACCTTGGAGATTCTGCAAGAAAATGATTTCTTGGAGGCTAAACCTGCTCAAACACCTTGCATTACAGGACAAAGATTAACCAGCTAGCCTGGAGGGTACTCTCCTTAACCAACCAGAAGTGTTTAGAAGATTGGTTGGCAAATTGCTATATCTGACCAATACTAGGCCTGACATAACCTTTGCAGTTCAACCGCTGAGCCAGTTTGTGGATAAGCCAAGAGATAGCCATTTAAGTGCAGCTCATAGAGTACTTAGGTACCTCAAGGGCTCACCTGGTAAAGGCTTATTCTATCCTTCAGATTCTCACATCAGGTTGCAGGGGTTTTCTGATTCTGATTGGGCAACCTGTGTTGAAAGTAGGAAATCTATAACTGGCTACTGCATATATCTTGGTGATTCTTTGATCTCATGGAAGACCAAGAAACAAGATACTGTGTCCAGGTCCTCCTCAGAGGCAGAATATAGGGCTCTAGCCTCAACAACTTGTGAGATTCAGTGGTTGCTGTACCTGTTAGCAGATTTGAAAGCAGAAGTACACAGTCATGTGCCATTGTTTTGTGATAACAACTCTGCTATTGCAATAGGGGAAACCCATGTTTTCCATGAACGCACAAAGCACATTGAAATAGACTGCCATGTGGTTAAGCAAAAAGTTCATGAAGGAGTGATCAAACTGCTAGCTGTTACCTCTCAGAATCAGACAGCAGATGGATTCACCAAGGCTTTGCCTAAAGCCTTGTTTGATATATTCCATGCTAAGCTGGGCCTTCAAGACCTCCATGCTCCAGCTTAAGGGGGGGTGATAAACAGGGCCGGTCCAATCATTTTCTAGGCCCGGGGCAGGACAAAAAAATGGGCCCCGGTTAATATATATTTCATGCCTAAGATTTAATTTAAATAAAAAAACAATTACTAATATCAATAACTTTAAATAAGATTAACAAGTTTTTAACAATTTTACAGCGACAATAATAATCATGAAAAAATTCTAGGTGCTTTCCTTAATGTAAAATAATAAATAATCGTATAAGTGCCTTCATAAATAAATAATTATTATAGTTTATAAAAATGAATAAATAATTTAAAATCGAGTCAACTTATAAACAATAACATTGTTATCATAATAAATAATAAATTAATTATTATTAAAAATTTATAAAACAATAATTACAAACATATGTGAAGCAAAAAATATTTTTTTGACTAGGAGAAAGAAATTAAAATATTTCAAAACGCAATAAAAAAATTCAAAAAGATATGAAACATAATTATCTAGATAAAATAGTTTGAATATAAAGCATATTATAAATCACACATCTTCTATATTTATATGATTTTTATAAATACTTTTTCTTTTAACTAGATAAATTTCAAATTTTTTTACAATAATTTGAATACAATGACACATGATAGAAACTTCTATATTACATTGATTAGATATTCATAAAAATGTACGCAGTAAATTATCTTTTAATTTTTTTCATAATTCAATCTAAAAATATATCATATAACCCCCTCCGTCCTATTTTTATGTGTCTTGTTTGGTTAACATGAGTTGATTGAAGTTTTTTTAATTCAATTTTTCATAATATGTTTAGTATAAGTATATAAAAATTTATAAATTTAGAAACTGCATTAAAATTTTAATATAAAAATTTATATATTTAATATAATTTTTTTTTTCATATTATGTTTAGTATAAATTTATGAAAATTTATATATTTAAAAACTACATTAAAAATACTACTCCATATTAAACACAAAAAATCATTAAAAATAATTTTTTAAAAGATACATTATAATATAAGCAAAGAAGTAAAGGGAAGGATTGGATCACCGGCCTTTGATTGAAGGAGGTTAAAATTTAAATATCTTACCAGCTAAGCTAATTCACCTTAGTATAAAATATATGTATATAAATTACTTATACTTAATACATATATACTATGTATAAGAGATAAGATGGGGCCCTCCCCAACCATGGGCCCTGGGCAAGGGCCCAGCCTGCCCTTGCCCCAGGGCCGGCCCTGGTGATAAAGTGGAAAGGTTCACCTTGCCTTTTCCAAGCTAAGTAACCAAGAAGTTTTCTGCTAAGTGTTGTTAAGTGTTATTTCTGTTTCTGTTATTCCTGTTATTCTTTAAGCCTTAAGGGCTTCTTTGTCTTTTCACTACTAGAGGTAATTATAACCGTCTGCATACGGTATATATGTTTTCTGCTTTCTTCCTTTCCGAGATAACAAGATATTTTCCTTCACTATAACTCCATTCTTCAAGCTATGAAAGCTCTCTCCCTTTTGTCCTGAATGTGCTGAGCATTTTCTCATCACTACATTTAATCATTTATCTTTTATCAACTTTTCTTATTTTGGCAAATTATGCTGTGCAACCGTATACACCATGCATGGTGCACACGGAATTGGATCCATAATTTCTATACTATAGATTCATAATTATTGAATTATATATTCACAATTACAAAACTCTATGTTCATAATTTTCAATGTTCATATTCCCAATTGTTGAACTCTATATTCACAAATCACTTAACTATATGTTCATAATTTGATAACTATACAGTTTAGAAATTATGAATCTATAGTATAGAAATTATGAATCTATCGTATAAAAATTATGAATTTATAGTATAGAATTTATGCATCTATAGTATAGAAATTATGAATCTATCGTATAGAAATTATGGATCCAATTCTGTGTGCACCTTGCATGGTGCACACGGTTTCACAGCATAACGCTCCTCTTATTTTTTGAGCAATTTTATTTATATCCAATATAATTTTAGTTCTAGCCCCACTCCACAATGGGTTTGTCATTTGGTAATTTAAAATAACGAATAAACATTTATAAAGTAACTTCTTGTATATCAAATATTTAGCAATTTTATATTGGAATGTCTAAGACAAGTCGTCCATTGAATTTAACAATCTTCTACACTCGTTTTCCTAGCTCAACTCTTTAAATTTTTTGTGTAATTTCTACTACTACTAAGACATACACTAGCTTTAAAGAATGAAATAATTAGATCAAATTAAAATTTAAGTCATTTAATATTAATTTTTATTCAACAATTTATTGTATTATTTGTTTAATAATATTTAGATATTAAGTTAAAATCACTTTTTGGAAAAAATTAAAGAATCAAGAAACTACTAATTGAGTGTTGGTTGACAATTTTTATGCTAGCTAAAAGATCTAATTTTTGATTTGATTAATAATTTTGTGGTTGAAAATTTGTTAGTACTAGCCCCACACTGATAGTGTTCACATTGACAATTATATTGTTTTATTTACCAGTAATAACGATACGTTATGTTATATCACAAAAAAAAAAAAAAAAATTAATTTAATTTATTAGAGTGACATATTCAAATTGAGAAGTTGTATCCTAAGATAACGCGTGGGAATATGTCTAATTAAATTATTATATACTTTGAAATGTCTAAGTCCTCGCTGCTGATGTGCTACACGCGTTTTCAAAGCTCTTTAAATAAATCTTTAGTTCATAGCTCCAAAGGCAAGCTGCTAGAAATCCAGACAGATAGTATACTCAGATTTCGACGAGTATGGAATCATGTTCATCATCATCTTCGTCGTATGCTCGCATGAAGTATGATGTTTTCTTGAGTTTTAGGGGTGAGACACGAGGATCATTTTCTGATCATCTCTATGCAAATTTGAAGCGGGCTGGAGTTAACACATTTCGGGATGATGAATCGATCCGGAGAGGCGAGGATATTTCTGTTGAGCTGTCAAGGGCCATAGAGGAGTCGAGGATATCCATCATCGTATTCTCCAAAGACTATGCTGCATCCCGATGGTGTCTAGATGAGCTTGTGAAGATCATGGAATGTAAACAGAAGTTGAATCAGATTGTTTTTCCCATATTCTATAATGTTGATCCTTCCGAGGTTCGCAAACAAACAAGCACGTTTGGTGATGCATTGACTCTACACAGACAACGATTTGGAGATCAAAAGGTTAATGGGTGGAAAGATGCACTCACTGCCGCTGCTAACATGTCCGGATGGGATTTGCAAACCATGTCAAATGGGTAATCCTAACTCTTTTGATTTCTTTTTATTGGTTGATATTTGCCTGGCGCACTTACTAATATAGTAAATTCATATTTATGGGAATTTTTAATTATAAAAATTTAAAAATAATTGAAGAAAAATCAATTATACGGAGTATTAATTTATTGATTATACATAAATATAATTTTTTTTGAACTTATAGTTTTTGACGAATTATATTTGTTGGTTAATTAATAGAAAATACGTAATTTTTGTTTAATGTCTGCTGTCGTGTTTTCAATTTGTTTCTTAATTTTGTGTTTTAGGCCTTCCTTTTATTTTATTTTTTTTTTTCATATCAATGTATGCACAAAGATTAATTTATGCAATAAATTTAAAATTTGATTAGGTATGAGTCAAACTTCATTGAGGTGATTACTAAAGAAGCGCTACGAGTGTTAAATTTTATGCCTATGAATGTTGCAAAGCATCCCGTTGGACTTGATTCTCATGTTAAAGAAGTCCTTGATTTATTAAAAATTCAAACAAGTGATGGTGTTCGGATGATTGGAATTTTTGGTATGGGTGGTGTTGGGAAATCAACCCTTGCTAAAGCTATATACAATCAGTTGATCATGAGTTTTCAAGGGTTTGAAGGTAGTTGCTTTGTTGCAAATATTAGACAAGAAGTTTCTAATAAGGGACGACACAATGGTCTAGTTGGTTTACAAGAGAAACTTCTTCACAAAACACTCAAGAGAAAGAATTTTGAAATTGATAATGTTGATGAAGGAATAAGTTTAATCAAAGCAAGGCTACAATCCAAAAGGGTTCTTATTGTTCTTGATGACATAGACCACATAAGTCAATTAGAATCATTAGTAGGTCAACGAAATTGGTTTGGTTCAGGTAGTACAATTATTATAACAACTAGAGATGTTCACTTGTTGAGTGAGCTTGGAACACAAGAGAAGTACAAGGTCAAAACATTAAGCATTGATGATTCTTTGCAACTCTTATGTTGGCATGCTTTTGGTGTTCCTATAGCATTACAGGAGTATACTAAACTATCCAAAACGGTAGCAAGTTATACTGGGGGACTTCCATTAGCACTTACCATTATAGGCTCTCATTTGCGTGGAAGATCGGTGCAAGAGTGGATTGAAGATATTGAGAAATTAAGAAGGAATCCTCATGACGATATTCAAACAATTCTTGAAATAAGCTATGATGCACTTGATGGTGATACTAAAAACGTCTTTCTTGATATTGCTTGTTTTTTTGTTGGGCATGACAAAAAATACGTTGCTATGATATTGGAAGCTTGTGGTTTTCATGCTGAAAGTGGAATTAGACGTTTGATAGAAAGATGTTTGTTAACAACAGATGGAGATAGAGTAATTAAAAAGCTTGAGATGCATGATTTAGTACGGGATATGGGAAAAGAAATTGTTCGAAAGGAATCTCCAAGAAGTCCTGGCAAACGAAGTAGATTGGTAGACCCAAATATTGTTTTTGATGTTCTACAAGGTAACAAGGTAAAACATTTTTTTTTTTTTTTGGTACTTGAGTTATTAATCTATTTCATTTGCTTGTAGTACTAAGTTTTATTAAAAATATGAAAGATTTTAGAGTATCTAACATATTGCTACATCAAACACTTTTTAGGGCACAAAAGCAATTGAAGGGATGATCATAAACTCTAACATGTTAAAGAATGTGCCTTTGAGTATGGAAGTATTCACAAGGATGGTAAATTTGCGAATACTCATATTTGATGGTGTGCTTCTTAGAGGATCATTTAAATATTTGTCCAATGAGCTTAGGCTTTTAAGGTTGCGTAATTGCCATTTAAGTCACATACAATCAGATTTTCATTGTGCGAAACTTGTTGAGTTAGACTTGAGCAATAGCAATATCGAAGAATTTCAACCCAATATGCAGGTTAGTATGTCTAATACTTAATTATTTTAACATTGAATATTTGCTATGAACTTTTGATTAAAAAATAGAAATGCATTAAAACCTCTCTATTTTATTTTAACAGCATTTTGTATGCTTGAGGATGTTAAAGATCAATGGTTGTAAACAACTTAAGAGTACACCAAACTTTACTGGGGCACAAAGTCTTGAAGAAATATCTTTCGTATGTTGTTCAAATTTGGCGAATGTGCACCCATCAATTGGAAGTTTGGAGCGGCTTGTTGGGTTAAATTTGGGGGGATGCAAGAAATTGAAGGTGCTTCCAAGTAGTATTTGCAAGTTAAAATCACTTGAGAAGTTACTGTTAATTGGTTGCAAGAATTTGAGGGAGCTTCCAAATGACATTGGAAAATTAGAGCAACTAAGAGATTTAAATGCTGTAAAAACTGGTATCTCACATTTACCCATTTCTTTGGGATGTTTGAGAAATCTAGAGTACCTAAACCTGACAAACGAGGTGGGTTCAGTAGCTGTAGGTTTTTTTCCATCTTCAACTGCAAATTTATGCGCATTGAAATGGCTGAGAGTGAGTTTTAACAAATCGCAGCAAGTAGTAAATCTTCCAATTGCTCTTGGGAGTTTGACCTCGTTGACAGATTTAGAGTTATCAGGAATTTGGTATCTTGAAAGCCTATCGTTGGACCTTTGTCATCTCTCCAATTTGATATGCCTCTTCCTCAAGGATTTGCAAAATCTTAGAGCACTTTTAAAACTTCCACCTAGTTTGGTGCGTCTTCAGGTAATAGATTGTGAGTCATTAGAAAAAATAGTAGATATATCAAACTTGAGAGGACTTGATTTGTTGATTATTAGGGACTGCCAAAGTTTGGTTGAGTTTTCAGGTTTAGAGAGTCTTGAATCCTTACAATTTCTTATAATAGCACATCGCAAAGCTCTAACTATCCCTTATAACTATTTGCATGAATACCTACAAATTGCTCTTGGAAGTTTGACCTCATTGGAATCTTTAGATTTATCGGGGTGTGGCTATCATCTTCAAAGCCTTCCCTTTAGCCTTTCTCATCTTTCTAATTTGAAATATCTCAGTTTGATTGATTGGCAAAATCTAAGAGCATTGCTACAACTTCCTCTTAGTTTGGAGATTCTCTATGCAAACAATTGTGTGTCGTTGGAAAAAATACAAAATTTGAAAAGACTGAGAAGGTTGTATATTTCCAATTGTAAAAGTTTGGTTGAGCTTCCAAGATGGGAGAGTCTTGAATCTATTGAGATAAGAAATTGCAGTGGTTTGAGGATTCCTTCGGTTGAAAATTGGTTCCAGGTTAGTTAAGTTTTGTTCTGATCCCCTCCCTCATATGTCTGATTTGGTTATATATACATATATAAATAAATCGATGGTAGTGGTTTTGATATTTGATTGTATAATAATAATAACGATAATGATGATGATGTAGGCATGTTCTGAAGGTAATTCTGTCCAGATTTCGCTTGAAGTCTTTACAGATTGTGTAAGTTGCAGTATTCCAAGAGTTTTGGGGCATACACCCATTAACATCCTTAATTGTGGTTTTGTTGGTAATGAGTTTGATGGAGTTGGTGTTGGTGTTAGTGTGAGAAGCAAAAGTAATGGTGCTTGGATCGTAAAGGAACCTCAGGAATATTTTAAGTTTAATTTGTATGAGGGAATTGAATTTGAGGTGGAAACAAGGATTGGAGAAGTATTGGAGGTGTATGCTCATTTCCATACTGTGCAGAAGAAGATGCAGCTTTGTTTATTTGAAATACATAGAAACTTAGATGGAGAAGTGCGTTTCTTTCCATCCACAAGAGGCTTCGTAAAAATTGAAAATGATGATGGAACAACAGAAAATGAAATTAGAATAATGGCGGGGGTACAAGAAAGTGATGATTCTTCAACAAGTAGTACTAGTGTAGGTGTAGAAGAAGAAGAGCAGAAGAATTATGGTTGGATCATGAGAAGAAGATTTTGCAGAAGCATTATTGGGGAGTTTCTCCTAAAGTGTTTTTGTTGGGATTTCATGTGTAGATAGCTAGGGAGTGGATGCAGATATGATTTCCATCCTCTGATCTGATCTAGGTATGTATGTTCAACTGACTGATCTGGTCTCTATCATTTCAATTCTTCTTTGATAGATGATTTGGTGTGCATGTTTATATTATATTTTATTATAGTAGCCGAGGTAGTAATAATAATTAGAATACATATTAATTAACTGTATCTTATATTAATTCCATAATTAATATAATATAGGTGATGGATATATTGAAGACAGACCCGACTTGGAGAGAAGTAGAGGCGACCCAGGCTAGGGGTGGCCTCCAGCACGGGGCAGCCTCGGCCTAGGCCGGCCTCAGCGGGAGGTGGCCTCGGCGAGAGATGGCCTCAGCCGGGGTGTCCACCTTGTGCGCTACACGCGTGGTCGCGCTCAAGGAGGATCCAACCGCCCACCATATTCTCATGGGGCGGTTAGGAGGAGGCTTTAGTATAAAAAAAACTCATTATTGTCCTGATTAAGACATCTATTATCATTTTTTTTTTTTGCTGGAATGGACATGTCTTATCATGTTCAATCATTACATTTACTTGCAATCTTCCTACAACACTATTATTAATACAAGAATTGTCTCCGCGACATATACTCCTTGTCTTTTTCCTTATATTATCCATTTATTTATTCTTAATATTATCAGGTTTAGTAATTTGGGCTACCCGAATTAATTAAATCTATTAGTAAGTTCTGAAGATGAATGATATATAGTTTCCAGATTTAGCTGCGGGCTTCAGCTGGATGTATACAACAATTTTCCACTACCTTTATTTGTGGTATGTATGTATGTATGTAATGAAGAATTAAGAAGATTATATAGAATAATATCAAATATTAATTAAGCCAAAATAAAATAAATAAAACATTTATTTATTATATTAATTTAATAATAAGAAATCAATTCCCAAAACAATAAATGTTGGCTCCTAGTGCATACATGTCTAAGAAATCCATCATCATTTGAAAGATTCAGAGGAAGATTTCACTTCGTAATTGAAATCAAATCTCAATTTTCAGATGTACTCTTTCAATTTCAAGCTTCAAGCTAAGGTTTTCCATTTCAATTCTTGCATTTATTTTTCCTTGTGATCTTGAATTCTATGCTCATTACTTCAATTGTTGTTTTGATTTTCATTTCAATCATGAGTAGCTAATCATCTCTATGGATTTAGATTGAATTTCTTTGTATGGATGCCTATGTGAATTGAATTGTCAAATCTAGATCTTGCAATGCCTTGATGATGAATATGATTGTGAGAATGACGGATTATGTTGACTCTTGTTTAGTTAGGGCCCAACTTTGCAAGTGGTTATTGGATTTGGTGTCTCATATATGAGAATAGAGTTTTTGTTACGTACTGAAATTTAGTACGCAACGGAAGAAACCTTTCAAGCAGGTTTCTAGTTCTTAACAGTGTTCTAGTCACGACAAACTCCAATTTCACACTTCGAGCATGTGTGGGCTCCAAGAAGAATAACTAAAATAGAAGAATAACAATATATTTCTCTGCTTCCCCATTTTTATATACAGTGGACCTATTTATACTAATTTACTAAAACTTATAATAATTAACCTACTAAAATTATACTGTGGACCATGGTCCAAAACGATTAACATTATAGTGTATCTAAATTGACAATGTCTCACATTTTATTTTTATTATATTATCAACTAAAACTGCAATTAAATTGAAATGAAACTGTAGTTGTGTTGAAATGAAATGGCAGTGTATACAAAATGAAACTGAAAAAAAAATTTCACATATTTGAGTGTATATTGTCCAGCGAAATTGTAGTAATATCAAAATGATACTGTAGTTGTGTTGAAATGAAACTGCAGTGCATATTTGATGTCTGGACCACAATGCATTGTGAACCGCGGTCCACAGTATAATTTGCAACTAACTATACAAGGTAATGATATATTATTATGATATACATATATAATTTTCCTATGCTAATTTAGGCACATTATTAACTCTCTCACTAATTATGTTGCAATCCTAATTATTCTACTAATTCTAGAAATATAATTAATTTTTCCTAATTAAGCTATATAATTACATTTAAGGGCGTATCACTCTCCACTCCTTCAAAAAACACCTTGTGCTCAAGGTGTAGGTATAGAAATGAGCATATTTATGTCTTGATGATACTGCTTGATTGATTTGGCACACGTGGACATCATAGACAACATGTTCACTGGATTGTCCTGTAATAGAATTCCATGTTTGTTTCATGATTTGGACTAATTTGGGAATTATTTCTACTATAAGGTGGATGAGATTTTCTTCCGAAGACACTATTGATATGAAAATGGATTCTTGAAACAATTGGGGAGACTTAATATGTACAATTGTAGTTGCTGCTTTATCTTTAATTGGTGCTTCAATTTGGGTTGAATCCATGCGGGCCGTGGTGTGTTCTCCTGTAGCATTTGGTGCAAGATCTACCTCCTCAGTAAAATTTTTAATTTCTTCTTCATTGGCTTGATGAATTGGATTGTTATGCTGTGCAACCGTGTGCACCATGTATGGTGCACACAGGTCTAGATTCATAATTTCTATACTGTAGATTCATAATTTCTATACAGTAGATTCATAAAATCTATACTGTAGATTCATAATTTATAAATCGTAGATTCATAATTTCTGTACTGTAGATTCATAATTTATGTACTGTACTGTAGATTCATAATTTCTAAACTATATAATTATCAAATTATGAACATATAGTTATGTGATTTGTGAACACAGATTCAACAATTGAGAATATGAACATCGAAAATTATGAACATATAGCTCTATAATTATGAACATATATTTATAAAATTATGAATCTCCAGTATAGAAATTATGAATCTAGATCTGTGTGCAACATGCATTATGCACACAGTTGCACAACATAATTTGCCATTAGTATAGTCCTCACCAACAATTTGATCCCTAAACTAACCAATTTCATTCAATTCTTCCAATTTGCAGATTTCCCACATGTAATCCCAAATTTAAATTATTTTTTAAAAAATAATTATTTAATTTTTTTGTTTTAAAAAGGACTTCCGGCCGGAGACAAAGAAACCTTCTTCGTCTCCACTCGATTTCTTCGTCTCCCTAGCCTGAGAGAAGAAAATAATATAGAGAAAGGAAAACGATGGGTAAAACGGTTTATGTGCCTAAGAATCTGGTTCAGGTCCACAAGGAAGAAAAATAATGTGCAAAGCATCATGTTGGAATTGATTCTCATGTTAGAGAAGTACTTAATTTATTACAAATTCAAACAAATGATGGTATTCGGATGATTGGAATTTTTGGCATGGGTGGTGTCGGAAAATCAACCCTTGCTAAAGCTATATACAATCACTTGATCATGAGTTTTCAAGGGTTTGATCAGAACTAAACTAGTGGATTCTCTTTGGCAGATTCCGCAGCTGCCACCGTTGGAACCAATGAAGCAGGACCTGGAAGAGGAGAAGAAGAATGATAATGAAAAGGTAGTTGCTTTGTTGCAAATATTAGACAAGAAGTTTTTAATAAGGGACGATACAATGGTCTAGTTGGTTTACAAGAAAAACTTCTTTACAAAACACTTAATAGAAAGAATTTTGAAATCGATAATGTTGATGAAGGAATAAGTTTGATCAAAGCAAGGTTGCAATCCAAAAGGGTTCTTATTGTTCTTGATGACATAGACCGCATAAGTCAATTAGACTCATTAGCAGGTCAACGAAATTGGTTTGGTTTAGGTAGTATTATTATAATATCAACTAGAGATGTTCACTTGTTGAGTGAGCTTGGAACACAAGAGAAGTACAAGGTTAAAACATTAAGCATTGATGATTCTTTGCAACTCTTAAGTTGGCATGCTTTGGGTGTTCCTATAGCATTAGAGGAGTATACTGAACTATCCAGAACAATAGTAAGTTATATTGGAGGACTTCCATTAGCACTTACCATTATAGGTTCTCATTTGCGTGGACGATCGGTGCAAGAGTGGATCGAAGATGTTGAGAAATTAAGAAGCAATCCTCATGACGATATTCAAACAGTTCTTGAAATAAGTTATGATGCATTTGATGGTGATACTAAAAACATTTTTCTTGATATTGCTTTTTTTTTTTTTTTTTTTTTTGGGCATGAGAGAAAAGACACTGCTATGATATTAGAAGCTTGTGGTTTTCATGTTGAACGTGGAATCAGAAGTTTGATAGAAAGATGCTTGATAACAAATGATAGAGATAGAGAATTTAGAAAGCTTGAGATGAATAATTTAGTACGGGATATGGGAAGAGAAATTGTTCGAAAGGAATCTCCAAGAAATCCTGGTGAAGGAAGTAGATTGGTGGAGCAAAATGATATTTTTGATGTTCTACAAGGCAAGAAGGTAAAACATTTCCTTTGTACTTGAGTTATTAATCTAGTTCATTTGCTTGTAATACTTAGTTTTATTAAAAATATGATAGATTTTACACTACCTAACATATTGCTACATCAAACACTTTTTTAGGGCATAAAAGTAATTGAAGGGATGATCGTAAACTCTAACATGTTTAAGAATGTGCCTTTGAGTACGGAAGTATTCACAAAGATGGTAAATTTGCAAATACTCTTTTTAGATGGTATGCTTGTTAGAGGATCTTTTAAATATTTGTCCAATGAGCTTAGGCTTTTAAGATTGTGTAATTGACGTTTGAGTCACATACAATCAGATTTTCATTGTGCGAAACTTGTTGAGTTAGACTTGAGCAAAAGCAATATCGAAGAATTTCAACCCAATATGTAGGTTAATATGTCTAATACTTAATTATTTTAACATTGCATATCTGCTAATAACTTTGACTAAAAAATAGATATGCATTAAAACCTCTCTATTTTATTTTAACAGCATTTTGTATGCTTGAGGATGTTAGCACTCGATTATTGTGAACAACTTAAGAGTACACCTATTGTTCTAACTGTTACAAGCAAGGGCTCTCTGTTGAGTTTTGCAGGCAAAATCCCCAGGCTGGAAACACAGCCTTTGTTGAAACATGTTTCAATGGCCAGAATAGGTCAAGAAGCAGATCTAGAATGAAAAGCTCCAGTAATCAAAGTAGGGGAATGCAAATGGAAAGAACTGTGCATCAGAAAAATCAAAGGCAAGAGCAAAGAAAGTCTCAGCGACCTATTGCTCAGCCTCAGTAGAGGCCTGCAGCAGCTACTAAACCTCAAAAAGGCCCTGCCGTAGTTGCACAATCTCAGAAGGGAGCTGCAGTACCCACTCAAATTCAGAAAGGGCCTGCCGTATTCACTCAGCCTCAGAATTTGCTGGCCCCATTGAACACCAAAACATTGAGAAAAATCCGACACAACATGAGAACAATGGGAATGAAGTGTTAATGGAAGAACATGAGGCACCTTTTATCCCTGTTGGGCAGAAAAAGGAAAGAAGAAAAGAAAACAACCAGGGAAGAAAAGAGAAGCTGGAGAAAGAGGAAGGGAAGCTAGAAATTAATTTGGTAATAAAAGACAACCCCTTTAGGCCCCTGAGAGGGCTAAGTGAGGATGAGAAGAAATCTGAGTGGGATCCTGGAGAGAACTGAGGAGAAGTCTGATGATTCTTGCTCACCTTCAATTGAAATCAGTGAGGAGGAGGAAGACTTTATTGGCAGAGAAAAAGACATGGAGGAGGAGGTTGCAAATGATTGTCAAAAAGATGTCTAAGGCACAAAAGAAAAAGATGAGAAAATAGAAAAATTCTGTGAGTGGTGAAAAGAAGGCAAAGGCCTCAGGAGGAGGAGGGGGGCATTGGAGGCCATGATTAGGATCCTTTGTTGGAATGTAAGGGGAGTTGGCTCCCAAGGCTCCCCTTATAGAATAAAAAACTTTGTGAGGGGCTACAAACCAGTGGTTTTATGTTTGATTGAGCCAATGAAGGACATAAGCCAAATGAAATATGTGGTAATGTCCTTAAGCTGGGACATGGGGAAATGTAAAGGAAATGAGAAAATTTGGGTGCTATGGAATGGTGATATCACTATCAAACATGTGGAAATAAAAGAACAATTGATAACAGTTTCAATGGAAAGTGTAATATATGATGGGGAACTGCACATCTCCTTCATATATGCAAATTGTAATTATAGGATAAGAACATAATTGCGGGAAGAATTGGAGCAAAAATTTGAAGGGCCAGTGGGACAAGGATGTTGGGTAGCTGTGGGCGACTTTAATTGTATTCTATCTGCTCAGGAGAAGAAGGGAGGAGTGCCCTATAACATAGCTAAAAGAAAATAATTCCAGCAGTGTGTAGACAAGGGGCTTAAGAGATGTGACCTCCTATGGATCATCATATTCTTGGTGGAATGGAAGAAGTGGGGAACAAGCGGTCTGGAAAAAGATTGAAAAATGCATGATTAATGATAGCTGGGAGGCTAAGCTGAAAACCCACACTCATTACTTATCCAAAACTGGCTCAGACCACTCACCCATGATCACTGAAGTTGAACCACACTTGCAAATAGGAAAAAAAACCATTTATGTACTTGAACATCTGGGGATTGTGAAGGGGGCCTGGGAACTGAGAAAGGGGAATGCTATGTATAGATTCAAAGAAAAATTGAAGAGGGTGAAAAATGACCTAAAAGTCTGGAATTAGAAATCATTTGGGGATATATTTGAGAGGGTTAAGAATTGTAAGGAGAGGATAAAAAAGATTAAGGAGGAGATTCAAAATGCTTGTAATGAGAGACTGTTAGTCCAGTTCAAAAAATCCCAGGGTGAGATGAAAAATGCAATAGCTATTGAAGAAAGGTACTGACAGCAGAAAGCCCATAGGCAGTGGGTTATTGAAGGGGAAAAAAACACTAGGTATTTCCATGGGTTAGTGAGTGAGAGAAGGAAAAAACAAGTGATTCATAAAATAAAAAATTATGAGGAGGTGTGGGTAACTGATCAGGTAGGGATTGCTGACTTAGCTGTTGAGTATTACCAGCAGCTATTCTCAGCAGAAGAGGCTGAGATTGACCTAACTCTATTTCAATGTTTGCAGGGGCAAGTGTCTGAGGAGGAAAACAAAAGCTTGGTGGCTAGGCCCACTGAATTAGAAATAAGGGACAGTGCTTTCAGCATGAATCCCAATAGCTCTGCAGGGCCTGATGGCTTTGGTAGAGGGTCCTACCAAGCTTGTTGGCCTGTTATTAAGAAATATCTTTGCCAGGTTGTCTTTGATTTCTTTGATGGTAAAACTTTAACAAAAAACATGACCCACACAGCAATTGTTCTGCTACCAAAAGTCCAGAACCCAGCCACTTTTTCTGATTATAGGCCAATAAGCCTAAGCAATTTTTGTAATAAGATAATCTCAAAAATCATGGTTGTTAGGCTTTCCAATGTGCTTGCTAAGCTTGTTGGCCCTTATCAGGCTAGGTTTGTTAAGGGCAGAAACATAATTGATAACATTCTTTTAGCTCAGGAGCTTTGCCATGGTATGGAAGCATCCAATGTGGATGTGGTTTTAAAATTGGACATGGAAAAGACATACGATAGGATGTCATGGAAGTGTGTCTTTGCTGTGCTTAGAAAGTTAGGTTTTTGTGAAAAATGGATAGATTTGGTTGATAGGAACATAAACAATATTTGGCATTTTGTCCTAGTGAATGGGAACCAATGTGGTTTTTTTCACTCCACTAGAGGTCTTAGGCAAGGGGATCCACTATCCCCAAGCCTTTTCATTTTGGCTACTGAATTGTTATCTGCTATGCTATGTCAAAATACTATTACTTTCACTCAAGCTAAAGGTGGGCCTTCTGTGAGCCACCTATCCTTTGCTGATGATGTTATCATCTTTACTTGTGGGAAGGGGGAAGCTTGGGAAAAAACAATGAGAACCTTAGAAGCTTATGAGAGTCAGTCTGGACAATTTGTGAATAAACAAAAGAGTGACTTCTATGTGCATGAGGGAGCAAGAAGGGAAACCATTAACAGAATTGAGAGGGTAACAAAATGCAATCACAAAAAGTTTCCTTTCACATACTTAGGATGCCCGGTTTATAAAGGGAGGAAAAAAGTGAGTTTGTTTGCTTCCCTTATGGAAAAGATTGCAGCTAAGTGTAGAGGTTGGCATAGTAGACTGCTCTCTCAAGGGGGCAAGTCTGTCTTGATCAAATTGTTTTGAAGGAAATACCTATGCATATTTTCTCAGCAATAGATCCACCAAAGGCAGTCATAAAACAAATAGAGAAAATCTTGGCAGATTTCTTTTGGGGCAGCTCAGAAGGGAGGCTGAAACATCACTGGAGCTCCTGGGAGTCCATGGCAAAGACAACAGATAGAGGAGGAGTTGGGTTCACAAGTGTGAGAGATATGGTGGCTGCATCTACCACAAAGCTATGGTGGCATTTTAGAACTGATGACACTCTATGGAGAAAATACTTGGAAGCAAAATACTGTGCAAGATCCCACCCAGTCTGCAAAACATGGCAGTATAAAGACTCCCACATTTGGAGGAGAATGGTTGGAGCTAAAGACATAATAGAGAAGGAGATTATCTGGAAAATGGGGGGAGGGGAAGTGAACTTTTGGTGGGACAACTGGTCAGGATTGGGAGCTTTAGCTCTGGCCCTAAACATACATGGCAAGACAAGGGCAAAAGATAAGCTGAAAGATTTTTTCAGAGGTGGAAGATGGGAAATTCCTAACCTTGGGTCTGAAGTGGAAAGTGCAGTGCAGAAAATCAGACTGAATGGAGGGCTACCTGACATTCCTAAATCGAGGCCTGAGAGCAATGTGACCTTTTCTTATGCTGCAGCTAAGAAGTTTGAAAGAGGGGTGAGGGTTTGTACAAGTAATTCACATTGGACAAAGAAAATCTAGATTAAACATGTCCCATGGAAGATGGCCTTTTTGGCTTGGAGAATGTTCAAGAGGAAAATCCCTTTGGATGATGTCTTGGTTAAGTTTGGCTACAACATTGTCTCAAAATGCAGCTGTTGTCAAAATCCAAGTTGTTGCACAACTCAGCATATTTAATTTTATGCACAAGTGAGACAGCTAAGGCAATTTGGAACTACTTTGCAAAATCTCTGGGAATTTCCATACAGATGAGAACCATAGAGCAAGTGTGTCATCAGTGGTGGGGAACAAGGAAAGGAAACAGGCTTGAGAGGTACCTGACAGAGAGACTCCCAATTCTCATTATCTGGGAGCTCTGGGTGAATTTTACCAAAAGCAAATATGGAGGAGAGAAGACATTTATTGCCAGGGTCATCTTCAGAATCATAAAGGATCTAGCAAAATGCATAGAAAGGAGGTGGCCATCATGGGACCCCTTCCCTCTGAATTGGCAAGCAATACTGAAAAGAGTGAAGAGGTTTAAGGTTCAGAGGGTTGTGGAAAGAGATAGCTGGTGCAAGCCCCCAAAAGGATGGATCAAGGTGAACATAGCAATAAGTGAAAGAAGGAAATGCTGCAGTTTCTTCATCAGAAATGCTTTTGGCCAATTCTGTCTAGCTGGGGCCTATTCTAAGGAGATCCAGAACAATTTGAAAAGACTAAAAAAGATAATGATGCAAGATATTTGGGCCTGGTGTAGAAGAAATAAGCTTGACAGAGTTATCTTTGAAGCAGAAGAGAGCCAATTTGCAAGGTGTGAGCTGAACCTTCATGAGGGAGAGGTGAAATACCTTGCCTGCAAGGCCAGTGTTAATTGTGTTGCTACTTGTCTTGCTAATAGATGTGAGGATATGAATGTTGTATTCTGGAAGGCTGGAGGGCTGCCCCAAGGCTTTCATCTTCTTCTTGGACTAGAGGGTTTGCCACACTTTGCATTCATCCTAGGCCAGGACCTTTGCCCCTAAGTTGCTTCTGAGATGCATTCCTCCCAGGCCAGGACCTTTGCCCCTAAGCTGTTTCTGAGATGATGAGCAGTGTTCTTGAGGGTGCTGCAACCTTGTATCATGAGAGGATCACCTGATGAGGGGAAGGGCACTTGCTTCCTTGAGGGTATTCTCTGGATGGATTCTGCAAAAACCTGTACTTGAGAAGGCAAATATCTGAAGCTGAGATGCAACACTGAAAGCAGCCCTGCAAGTCTAAGCATGAGATTAGATTGAATCTGAGACTAGAGGCCTTGATCTAGTTTAAATAAGCTATGTAAGTATTGCTTACCCTCTCTGATTGTGTGTGGTTGTGAATGTCTTTACTTGGCTTGCAGATGTGGTCACCATTGTCTAGCTCAGGTTCCAGCAGGTATCTGTGGTGAAATGAGGAGGTTGGGTGGATTATGACTGTAGAGGAAGGTCTTGCGTAGCACAAACACTGATGTGAGAGTACCCTTGACTGAAATTTTCATGTGGGGGCTGGGTTTGAAGGCTTGTGGTTGAATTCGAATCAGTGATATGAAATAAAGATGAGTGCAAAATCTGCACAAAGGGTTTGAATAGCAAAAACAAATGGAAATGAATTGGTTTGGAAAAATTGAAATCAAAATAAAAGGGAAAAGGTTTTGAATGGCTTGTTGGTTGAGCCACTCTATTGCTTTTGATGGGGGTCACATAGGCTGGCCCCGGTAAAAATGCAGAGCTCTGTACGGGGTTGGGCCGACCTCGTGTAAGGGTAGAGGTCCTAGGTCACAATTGCTTGGTTTATGAGGCAAAATGTCCCCTTTGTGCAAGTGCTTTGGCATCAATTTGGGGTGACGTCTTGTAAGCCAAGGGTGGGTCTCATCGCCTTGAGTGGGGGCATAAGTGGCCTCCCCGGTTAAAACACAGTTCGCTGTGTGGGGGGGGGGGGGGGGGGTTGACCTTGCGCTCTTGGGGTGGGAGCTTGGGGATTTTAGTATAGGGCATTGGTCTCACACTGATGTTTGGGGCAAAGACCTTCCTCTTACAAGATTGGGTTTAGTTAGAATTGCTTGGTGGTTCTACTTGATACATAAGGCTTGAGTCAAGGCAATGGTGAAAGGATCTTCTATCAAGTAAAGGTATCTTGACCAGGGCATTGGAGTGGGTGATGATACTTGAGGGCTAATTCATGCTAGACCATGGCAAATGGTGTTTGGAAGAGATGGGCTTGCCCCTTATCTTTTGCTTAGATTTGTAAGGCCTTTAGGCCATGTAGACTTTGTGGCCGAATGGCCTATGACTTTTGTAGTTAGGATTTGGTCATTTTGTTGACCTTTAGCTTGGTTTGGCTAATTTTGGGCCTCTTGATTGTTGTAGGCTTTGTGCCTTTTAATTATTGATGATATATAGTATCGTAGCTTTTACTGTTTAAAAAAAAAAAAAAAAACCTACGTACGGTTAGCAAAAAAAAAGAAAAAAAAAAAAACTTAGGAGTACACCAAACTTTACTGATGCACACAATCTTCAGGAAATATCCTTCTTATGTTGTTCAAATTTGGCGAATGTGCACCCATCAATTGGAAGTTTGGAGAGGGTTGTTAAGTTAGATTTTTGGTTTTGCAAGAAATTAGAGGGGCTTCCAAGTAGCATTTGCAAGTTAAAATCGCTTGAGAAGTTAGCGTTATCTGGTTGCAAGAATCTGAGGGAGCTTCCAATTGACATTGGAAAATTAGAGCAACTAAGAACATTAGATGCTGTAGAAACTGGTATCTTACATTTTACCCATTTCTTTGGGATGTTTGAGAAATCTAAAGTACCTAGAACTAGAAAAGCTTGAGGGTAGTACAGTAGTTGTTGATTTTTTTCTATCTTCAACTGCGAATTTATGCTCATTGGAAACTCTGACTGTGAGATTCATAAACAAATCGCAGCAGCAAGTAATTCTTCCAATTGCTCTTGGGAGTTTGACCTCATTGACATTTTTACAGTTATCAAGAATTTGGTATCTTGAAAGCCTATTGTTGGACCTTTGTCTTCTCTCCAATTTGAGAAAGCTCGACCTTGAGGATTTGCAAAATCTTAAAGCACTTTTAAAACTTCCACCTAGTTTGGAGCTCAGATTGTGAGTCATTAGAAAAAATAGCAAATATATCCAACTTAAGAAGACTTGAAAGTTTGTATATTGTGGGCTGCAAAAGTTTGGTTGAGCTTTCAGGCTTAGAGAGTCTTGAATCCTTACGATTGCTTACGATAGCACAACACAAAGCTCTGACTATCCCTTATAACTATTTGCAAGAATGCCTACAAATAATCGTTCTTGGAAATTTGACCTCATTGGAATCTTTAGATTTATCAGGGTGTGGCTATCATCTTCAAAGCCTACCATTCAGCCTTTCTCATCTTTCTAATTTGAAAAGTCTCAATTTGAATGATTGGCAAAATCTAAGAGCATTGCTACAACTTCCACTTTGTTTGCAGCATCTCTCTGCAAAAAATTGTGTGTCATTGGAAAAAATAGAAAACTTGAAAAGACTGAAAAAGGTTGAATATTCCCAATTGCAAAAGTTTTGTTGAGCTTCCAAGATGGGAGTCTTAAATCTGTTGATATAAGAAATTGCAGTGGTTTGAGGATTCCTTCGGTTGAAAATTGGTTCCAGGTTAGTTAAGTTATGTTCCGATCCCCACCCTCATCTTTGTTTGATTTGGTTAATTATATAATAATAATAATAATAATTGTAAGTGTACATATTTTGTACACATTAAACCTATGATTGGCTAATTTATTTTTATAAGTCATAGTCTTAGGTTTAAACAAAAAACTCTTGGACCATTGTTACTTTTCATAAGAGACTTTTTTGGGTGGTTCACAATTAATGTCTATGAAGAGGAAGTCAGCTATGAATGTATGGTTCAAGCATATTATGGGAATCTAAATTAAATGAATGGCAGAGAATGAATCAAGCATGGAATGAGGCAAATCACGTGGCTGTCTGATGGAAGGGATATTGCTATAAATAGGAAGGTTACTAGTTGTGGAATGTTGCCTTTTTGAGACTTACTATTTTGAGAAGTGAACACAGCTAACGAATTGAGAATTACTTATATTATTATTTTGCTGAGCTACTGTCTGCGCCTGACTCAGTTGAAGTACTGTTCGAAGGTTATCAAGGCATGCATGTCACGGTCCAGGTTGGATGTTAGGAAGGTTGTTTGTAGTATGGTAGCTAAGACTGTGACAGTCTAATGTACTGTTTTATTGTAAAACTCCTTGGTGAACATCTATAGTGGATTGGACAGACGTGGGTTGCCCCGCAGACGTAGGAGAAGTGCTCCGAACTGCGTAACAA